GGGAATCCCCAATCCCCAAAAGTACAAAAATTATCAAATTCTTGGGGAAGTTGTTATATACTGTGTGAGCAAAATCAAGTTTTAGTCCAATGCAATAACATTAACTAGCAATTTTGGGGAAAAGAAGATCCTTTTCGGGTCAATATGACCGGTACACAGCATGAGAGATTTTCAGAGCAGAAAACAAGCCCTTCCTTGTGTGGCTCTTTACCTGTCACAAAAGAAATTTGCATGATCACATGACTCCTATATGTGTGCCCATGTGTATTATGTTGTGTTCACTGTGCACAACTGCTGTTTTGACAATAACAAACCTCTGGAAATGCCATGTGTTCAAATGTTTGCTCTAATGCCTGGTTGCACAGTGTAAGCATGTGGCGATCTTCTGTCTTCCCTGTACATGTGGTGATGCTGTAATTCAATTATACTACTGCATTTATCTTTGTTGGGCCAAATGCCAGTGAAGCTTAAATGAAGTTCAAGACTGTGCGCCTGATCAGCAGATGCTGTACAACCTTAAATGCCCCAGGGCATCCACAGCTGTGTTTACTGAGCAAGAATGAGCTGAGCTCGCTGTGTATTCATGGCCATGCATGAGTATGGTGGTAATGCGCATTGTTTGCATTTGTGTAACTGTATGTATTGTTTGATAGGATGATTATAAGCTTGTGTGAGTGTGTACCGGGTTTCTGAGGCAGAGTGACCCTTGCCACTATTATGTTGTGCAGGAGTGTTAAGACAGTTATGAGGCCTCATTATCTTTGCAGTTGATCACTCAGCTGGATGACATCCATCAGTAACACCATGCACAACACAGTAATCAGTCCCTCTTTAACCGTACATGTCACATTTTTTCTCTCTGATGCAGCTCTACCCGTAAACCCTGCTCTGCCTGTTCTTATGATTTAGGAGGTGCTGTTTTGTTTCAGACGTCCTCATGGGTTTACAACTGAAAGTACATTTCAACATGATTCAGCATTAACTGCCTCCACAGGACAGGGTGCTAAGTACATAAGTAAAGTTTTATTTATATGGCACCTTAAAAAAAAAAAAAACCTTTACAAAATGTTTTACAGGGAACATATGAATGATGAGTAATAATGAGTAAATAATAATAATGTAATAATAACAATAATTTTGATTATTCAATACATTTTTTGTCAAAGCATATTAATATTATATTAATAAAGTATTTATATAGAACTTTTCTAAACACTTGACATTTACATTATTATAATTTAGTATATTAAAATTAAGTACAGTATGTCAACATTAAAAATGTTAATTTATACAACTTGTAAAAAAAAAAATTGCCTTGTCCTTGTTCCATATTATATTATATTGCTCATGTTAGGTTGATGCGTAGGCCTATGTGTTCAAAAGAGAATACACTGGAAGTAAAACTGCATCTATATTAAATTTCAGAAAAATTAAGAATAACTCAATGCTAATTATGCTAGTAACACTCTCACCCACATCATCACTTCTCCTAGGGCTCTGACCGTGCAGTAACCTGCCTCTTCAGCACCTTGGCCTTGCCCTGATATGTCTGGACTGGAGGGTATGGTTTCATGCTCATCCATCTGTATTCCACTTGACTGTATCACATCATCACGAGAGCAGAAGACACGTAAGGGGCAGACAAGATACCGTGTACAGCTGTACAGTATCCCTGTACATAGAGGGACAGAACATTTGACCAGAGAGTCCAGAGAGTCCAGAGAGACCTCTTCCAAATGATTGCTGACAGCTCCTCTCCTGACAGCAGCTCCTCAGAGTCGGACAGTATGTCCAGGAAGGTAAACAATGTTGCACAAGCTGATGTGACGGCACTTAGTCTGCTGCACTGTGACAGACTGTGAGAAATGCCTGCAAATGAACAACAAATCTTTACAATATGAATCAACACTTTAAAATAATGGACAATTATTCAGCATTTATTCATCTAGGTTAATGTTATTTATTTTTATTTCTATTTATTTTTTAATGAATTGTCATTGTTCATCGTTGCCTTTGGCTTACTCAGTCGGGGTTTAAAAAAAGTAATGCAGTTTAACTTCACGGACGCTGTCACATGAGAACAAAATGTGAACTGACCTGAGTTGGATAATGACACTTTACAGCATCGATTGAAATGAATAAACATTGAACTGACTTGATCTGAATAATGACACTATTACTTTCTGAACTGAACTTATTTCATAATTGATGAACTCTGCAACACTGACACAGTTATTTAACTGAATTGAAACAACTTTTACCAACACTGACAACATGAGCTGAATAATGACACTATTAACTTCTATAGAGTAGTTTTACAGCTGAAATTGAATTTATTTAATAATTCATTAATTTTACAACATTAACACTGTTCTTTTCCTGTTTATTAATGTGAAGAATCTTTGAAACAATCATATTGCATAAAGTGCTATATAAATAAAGGTGACCTGACTCATTCATAATACAGTAAAACAGTTAATTTATGCAACGTAAAATGTTAAAAAATGTATTAGTATATATAAATTAACATTAAACAAGATTAATGAATGATTTAAAATGATTGCCAATCATTGCATTATAACTTAAGTGGAATAATTTCTTTAGGAGAAATAGGAAAGGATAAATAGGAATTCATTCAAATATTACACATCTGAACTAAACCTCCTTTTAAGGCATCAAGCTGTTAAAAGAACCATCTGTTACTATTTATGCCACTAAAGAACAGAAAACCCTTTTCTCTCTTATCATTGCATAAATAGAGACTGAAAACATGAATGGTGAATAGCACTCAGACTTCATGATATTTATTATTATTTTTATTATCTTCTAGGCGCTGACCTCTAGTCAAAACCCCTGTAAGCCAGCACTCATCAAAGACAAATACTTGCAGAAAACTGCAGCTGATCTCAATTCTAAGACGCATTCAAATAATTAAACAGGAAGCAGATCTGAGAGCAGTTCCTGCATTGAGCACAGGATGGCAGTGTTCTCACAATTTTGATTCGTATGGCATATCACAGACACTGGAGAGAGAGCGCTCGAGCTGCCTCTGAGACATACAGTGCTGCTGCTACTAATATACTGTTGACTCTCATTGACCTGAATGGATCGGGCCTCCGCTGAGCTGATCTTTTCTGATTACTATTAGAAGTTTGGAATGGACTCTGCTGTGGGGGACATGGGTCAAACAAATCTATCCACGAAGCACATATCTTTACTTTCCTAATGAAGATCTCTCATGATGATTAATCCCTGCCCTTAAAAATATCTGATGATGAAAATAAGCTTTGATGAGGCAGAAAAATGTCATCCTCCAAATGCTGATCTGATATGAACTCAAAACTGATTTAATATCATATATAAGCCTGGTTTGACCTTAGAGGCTGTGCACCTTGTGCTGAACATTGGGACAGCTTCTGTCCCAGAAGTCTACAAGAAAATAAAGCTGTGTTGCACGGCACATCTGCTTTGTTTGAACCACATCATTGCTGTAACCCTGGCCTGTTTTGAGGTCAGCGCTGGGTGACGGAGTGACATTTTGACCCTTTTCAAGAAGTCCAAAAACTTTGATCGGATCTGCTCTAATCCATTTTAAGGTTTTGCATTTCTGCCTCATTTCACTCCGGCTGCCTCCTTATTGCACTGACCCACATACTATCTCTCCACATGACCTTTTTTTGGCCTGATGTAAACAAACAAACAATAGAAAATCCCTCTTGCTAGTCAGGTGGTGTAAACCGATGGGTTTCGAGGTGCAGAGTAATTAACGGCCGTGTTTACAGGGAAGTTTCTTTTATAAACCACTTCTCTTTCATTCACGGGTGATCTGTTGTGAGATGTTTATTTATTATGTATTACGGTTATCTGAGTGTATTGACCCTCTTTCTATGTCCAGATGGTCCCATACACCTCTGCACTTGTCTTGCTGTTAAACTCTGTTGATGTGTGCGCACAACCGGCGGCGATGGCAAACTACAAACAGACCTGCACCTGCTCTTCGTGGTGCACGTGAACGACATGCAAATAACCAGGTTTCTCCGTGCACGCTTCATCTGGGGTGATCTGTGCGTAAATA